ACCTAATACTCCTTCCTCCTCCTATTTTCCCCACAACAACCACCCTGTGAGGTGAGTTGGGTTGAGAGAGAGTGACTGGCTCAAAGTCACCCAGCTGGCTTTCATGCCTACAGCGGGATTAGAACTCACAGTCTCTTGCTTTCTACTTGGTACCTTAACCAGTAGACCAAACTGGCTCTATTTTGTCTTCATATTCACTGTTGTGGTATGGTATAAAGATGTACTTCAGTCGAGCTTGACCCAAATTGACTTTATATGCAATTTTTAAAAATATTTATATTTACTATATATATTTGCTGCACCCAGTTGACTCTGTACAATGTTCTTGCCGACTAAAGAAATAGCTTACTATTTGTTTTCCTCCACGATATTTTTTTGAACTTCTCAATCTTTCCTACAACTTTGGAATTCACCAGTGGTTGTCCATCCACATGTTAACCATCTATGACTGCATTTTACTTCTTAGTCCAGACAAAGTCTGCCAGATCTTACCATCTGCTCAACTCACTACTGTATATTTATGGACAAATAATGATGAATGTTACACAAGGACACGAACCCTTCATTTTTCACTCTCAGGAATTCAATAATAGATAATTAGTATGCAAGATGTGAGCGATAAAGAGATTACATTGTGCTGACCTGGTGGAGAAGGTTCCATGAAATGTAAGATTTAAGCAAAAAGAAACTGAAGAAAAAAAGTCTGGAGATCTCATAAGATAATTTTATCTCTATCAAACACTATACAAGAAATTTCAAATGGGGTGCCACAGGGTTCAGTCCCGGGCCCTGTCCTCTTCAACATTTTGATTCATAAATGTAAATGAAGAGGTAGAGGCAATATTTATCAAATTTGCAGATGAGCTACCTAATACCTTGAAAGAAATAAAATTCAAAACAAATTCATATATTAGAGAATCAGGCTGATGTATGAATCAGGCATGGATGTATGCAAAGTTATGTACTTAAGACACAAGTAAAAGCACAGATTTAGAATGAGGATGCTTGACTTGGCAATACTGTTTGTGAAAGTGATCTTGGCATAACAATAGATTATAAACGGCATATGAGTTAGCAATGTAATGTGGCTGTAAAAAAAAGGCAAATGTAGTTTTAAGTCATACCAGCAGAAGCTTTCCAAATCATAGGAAGTAACAGTTCTACTTCATTCTGCATTGGTAGAACCCATTTCAAATATTGGGTTCAGTTCTGAGCATCACAGTCTAAGAAGGATTTAGAAAAACTGGAATAGATTCAGTGAAAGGCAGTGAAGAAGAATGAGGGACTAAAAACCAAGTCCTATGAAGACAGAATGAAAGAATTGGGAATATTTAGTCTCGTTTAAAGAGGATATGGCAGCACTCTCCAAATACCTGAAAGGATGTCACACAGAAAAAGGTCAAGACCTGTTCTCTGTTATCTCGGGGAGCAGGACATGGAACAATATATTTACATTTCAGTAGCACAGATTCTGGTGGAGTGTTATGAAAAACTTCCCAAGAATAATGGCAGTTCAACAGCAGAACCAATGACCCAGAGAGGTGGTGGCTACCTTTCATAGATGTGTTCCAGTAGAGGCCAAACAGCCACATTCTGGGAATGCTTCAGTTTAGATTCCTACACTAAGCAGGGATTTGAAAGTCAAAGTGGCACCTTCATGGCAGAGAATTCTTCAGACACTCCTCATAAATAGTCTAATGATAGCTGCCACTCTTTTCCATAAAGATATGCACAACTGGAAATTGTAATACTTAGTCTTCAAAGGTGGAATGCACAACAATATTTTTTCATCAAGAACAAGAAAAAATTAGAAAAGAAAGAATTGTGAATTGGAAAGAAAGGGAGGTATGATGGAGATCCATTGAAATCAATGCAAGCTGCAAATAAAATAAAGTCCAGGCAGTCATCAGGAGTCAACACTGACTCGAAGGCACACACACACACACACACACACAAATACACAGCAAGGACTCGATCCTGAGCAAAAATAGAATGTCCTATCACTACCACACACCACACACACTTTGGAATGGGATGTTCTTAGTTAACTCAACTAGATTTAAGTTGCACCAAAAATTTATGATTTCAGGAATGGAGAAGGAATATCGTTCAACTCTGCTTCTTTGTCCCAATGCTATAACTTACCTGGTACCTACACTATTGTATCTGATCTAATATTCTGGACATTGTTGCTTCTTCTTCTTTCCCATCTAATGTAGATTTTTTTTTTTTTTTGGCTTTTGGTTGGATTTAATGAAGACCTTGGGAATTGTGGATTATTTATTTTTGTTTACTTACTCTCTCTGCATATCTTGCAGCAGCCATTTGGAGTCAATTCAATTTGATCCTTTGAAAACATTAAGAAAGTTTGTGTTATTACTTTAATCATTATTGCTGGATATAAAAGTAGATATTCTCTAGCACTGGGTTTGAAATGCACCCTTAAAACTGCACTACCTACATAACAAAATGCTTCAAGCTATCATTATTTTAAAAAGGAGAATCAAAACCAGCAAGTTATGAATTCATTATAAGTTATTGCTTATTCATAAGTTACTGCTTGTGAAGTGGGAAAATGCATTATTCCCTGATCTCTATAAAGGAACAATTATTTCACTGAATAGATACACTTTTATTAACAGAAGCATTTATGATTTATTGAAGAACACCATGTTTTCCTAGTAAAAACACCTAAAGAGCAGCAAATCTCACTTGTGGTGAGAATGAGAAAAACCCATCAATTTCAGTTCAGTTCATCCAAGTGTGTGACCTCTGCTCTTCTGCCAGATAATAATCTGCCAGATAATAATTTAGCTTGGCACCTAAAGAAATACCTCTGAGTTTCTGAATGTGGAAAGTGTGTTAAGCATGCTTATCCAAATATATTTACAATCTTTTAAAAGATTTTCATACTGAATATATGAAATTAATGTGTACAGGATAATGGGGGTGGGGGTAGGGGTGGGGGGGGTCACACTCCCAACACCATTTAGACCCACACCTACTTGGATTTAGCCACCACCATTTCTTCTTGCTGAACAAATAAACTGGTCCACAACTTTACTGTGTAGGAAGCAACTGTTAGGTACTCAGTGTATATAATAAGAGTCATTAGAAAGAACATTAATAATCAATAGCATTAGTCTCAACCTGGGATGACTGGTGGTGATCACCTTTGGTATGGGTTTTTTGAGAAACCATATTTGTTTGTATTTAACAAAATTAGAGCATAAATTAAGAAGAATTTTACATAAAAAGTAACATAAAACTTACAGGATTACAGTCTGGGTCAAAGAAAGGGCATGTTTCTTCAGTCTTGACCAAAACCAGTGTATTGTTCCTTGGCTCACATCTGTACTGGCTACAATTACTAGCTTTTGTCTGCCCAGGCTATTTTTATGAATTAAGAGAGAGAGAGAGATGGGGCCATTATTTTAATTGTAAACTTTATAATAGAAAATACAAACCAAAGTTTTTAATATGTCTAGAGCAGTGTTTCTCAACCTTGGGAACTTTAAGATGCATGGATTTCAACTCCCATGGTTGGCTGGGGAATTCTGGGAGTTGAAGTCCACACATCTTAAAGTTTCCAAGGTTGAGAAACACTGGTTTATATAAACTAACTTTCTTCAGCTATGAATCAGGTATATTGCAACAGACCTCTGTGCTACCCATCCTAAACACACTCATTGAATTTTATTGACTGATGACAAGTTAATGAGCTGAAGATCAATATCTCTGAGATAACATTAGTCTGAGTGACAGTGATTGGGTTCACCCATTGCTTAATTCAGGTTTGTTGAATAAACCACAATGGCTGGGTTTGTACATTGTGCTACACCATAAAACATGATCTACAAATCATAATGGATGCTTTAGGATACATTAACCTAAAAAACAAAATATGACTTAAAGTATGCATGAAGTGAATCAGGGACCGATCCCAAGAAAGCTAGTGAGTAGAACCAAGCTGGGGTTGAACTTTCATTGCCTGATGTCCAAAGGCAGCATATTAAGGTACATTTGATGAAACTTTGTAACAGTTGAGAACACTTATAGCCCTAGATGGTTTTTTTCATCCGTCCAGTCATTTAAAAATCTATTAAATTTTCTGCCGTGTGTTTGATATTAAAGAATCCCATTTTACTCTGGAATATAGACTTTCAATTATGCAGTGATTGATGCTCATTTGTCATGCTTGTCTCACAAGATAAAATTATGGCACTTGTGCCTTACTTAATCTGGCACCCTGCAGTGGTGTTAGGATTACAATGTCCAGAATGTCTAGACAAAATTGCCAAAGTGTAGGTCTCCTAATACGTCTGGAGGGAAAGAGTGATATACAGACCTCTGGTTTTCTCTAATTCAGATTTCTGATTGGTTGGCCCATAACCTTACATGACAGCATTTCAGTTACCAACATAGAAAAGATTTTTCACTACCTGTATGTTTCATCTGTCTTTTATGTTGTAATTGTACATTGCCTCTTGCATTTAGTCCTAATCAATTATTATAAGATCAGGGTCTTGTTTCTTACAGGTGATTTTTCATCTTTTTTATGACTAGTTCTTGTGTTCTGACTCAGTCTTATATAGGTTCTTAGATATAAGAGAGAGATTACTGCTATCCTAAGAGCCATATTTAGTAATACAACAGATTTGTCTATTCAGTTTAGCCCAGCTTTCCTATCTTCCCAGTTGGCACTGACCCTGTAAATTGGGGATGATGAAGTATAGTCCAAGATATTAGGAAAGGATGCTGAATCTTATTCACATTTTAATAGCTTACAGTATCTGGATACTTCGGTTCTCATCTGCCTGTGCTATGCAGAAAGCAGGCATTAAATGCATTGTTCTAGTTTGAAAAGCAGTTTAGCTAGCAAAAGTGCAAGAATACCCTATATTTCACTTGTGTATAATATGAATGGGAAGATATTACCTTCAGTATCTCAGCAGTGTCATTAATGTTGATGATGCAAGCCACTTGGATGCATTTTCCACAACACTCGCCAGCTTTTACTTGGTACTCATGACCCTGTTGGCCAGACAGCAAGAATTAATACTGATGCCTGAACATCTATGGGAGAGGTAGTCTTCTGTAAAAATTCAATTAAGCTATATTTAGGAAGGAAAGACTTGTTCTTACCATTGGACAATCTTTGTTGCAGGTAACCGGCTTACATTCCACAAGGTTTCTCTTGGAAACAGGGTCCTTTACAGAACTACAGGTGCATGTTTCACAGGATTTACCAGGAACAGGCATTCCAGGCTGGGAAAAATCACAGATCAGCCTTACTATAAGCAAAATGAAGCATATAACTTTGCAAACTACAGTTCAGAAACATTGTGAACCAATTCCAGCATACCAAAATATTTGACATCTTAGCTTTCTTTAACCTCTCCAAACATTTCAGTGATGTTCCATACAGGAATGGGAAATGTTATAGATTGGTCTAAGCCTATTCAGGATAGCACAGGAATTCAATTCTCAATTTCTAAGGATGCATGGCACTGGCTACAGAACTACACTTAATTCTCGTAAGGGTAAATTCATACTTCATGCAGCAATTGTGTTTACTGTAACTAAGCCAATATTATACCCACATTTATTTCATTAAATATGTAAGGTGATAAGGAGAGATGGTACATATCAAGTAGGAATCTATATAAGAATATGGCAGTGGATAAGCACCTCTGAACCTAATCTCCCTGGGCCCTTTTCGTCTTTTTACTTGTATTGTTATTTTTCATATACCATGTATATTAAGTAGGGTGCTCAACGTTTTCTCCAATACCAATTGCTGTGTCTTTCACAGTTGTGTGATCTGTGAAAATTAGCAAGTGACTGAAAATGTATATCCTTATGACATGGAAAACTCTACCTGCTAATTTCTGCATATCATACCACTATTAACAAGGCATATTTAGGCCAGGACAGAACAGTTTTTTCCCCCCAGTTCCTACCTAAATTTTCAATAGAGGTTTTAAAATAAACATATATGGGAGAGGGAAAGAGAGAGAAAGTCAAATCTCTTTAATCACCTGTTTTAGAAGGAAACCTCTCTACCACTCACTTAAAGATATTTCCTTTTTCCAACCAAATAGTTGACTGGCAGAATAATAGCATTTTATGAATGCATGCAATCACTGAGCTCAACAAGTGAATGGAGGATGAGGTCACAGAACACCTTGTGTTGTGAACTCTGTGAAGATATTAGGGAAATCCTAGAGAAGGTGCAGTGTCCAGAAGGAGGCCCCAGCTGCCTCGAGTAGACAAAAGACAAATCAGCATTATGGGCAAGTTGCAGAAAAGCTGTAACCATTCATGGTTGGAAAATAGGACATAATAGCTAGAATGTTCCTAATGAGCAATCTTGCATGAGGCATAAGAGGGAACTTAATCAATCAATTTAATCAATCAATCAATCAATCAATCGACAATTAGCTATTGTCATGAAGTAGTCATCCTTTTAAAATCATTATGTCACCATCTGCCCATTTGGGCATGCACATGTAAGTGGTTTAAATGCCACTTGCATTTTTGTTCCTTATGTAAGAAACTTTGTTTTCCTACTGTGGTGTCTAAATATGACCTGAAAATAGCAAACTAATCATCTGGCAACGTTATGAAGGCAAAGCTGATTCATGCTTGGAAATGACAAAGTCATTGATTCCTCTGAATACTATTAGAAAGTCATACACAAGTTCTCTACTCAAACAGCAGTCATTTATGGCCTTTACTGAGGAATTAAAACTGTTTATCCTGTATCCTGAATCAAATCCAACATCAGATTTGAGCAACTTACTGCAACCAATTTAAAGCAACAAAATAATCTTCCTAGCATTGCCCCAAATGCATCCTAACTCATATGTTTTCATGTTACTGGTGCTTGTAAGAGCAGCATCCGTTACTGTTATTGGGTTCTGCTGCGATTACAGCACTATTGGGACATTGTTATTGAATCACTATTAGTGCCTCCCTATATTTATCATGCCTGTGTGCAAATATATGCAAATGTACTTGAGAAAGTGCCCAGAGGTTTCTTGGGGGAAAGGGGCCATCTACAGACAAGATAAAAAATGTCAAGATGGCAGCTACAACCACAGGATTGAAGCCCTGCCGCTTTTTATGGGCAGGCTTAAAAGGCTTTGGCTGTGTACTCGTAGGCACCATCTTGATATTTGGGATCTCCCTTGAAGATGCCTCTCCTTGTGTGCATTCCCTAGACCAGGGTTCCTCAACCTTGGCGACTTGAAGATGTGTGGACTTCAACTCCCAAAATTCCCCAGCCAGCATAGCCGGCTGGGGGGTTTTGGGAGGTGAAGTCCACACATCTTCAAGTTGCCAAGGTTGGGGAACCCCGCCCCCGACCTCCAGCCAATTAATCCCCTTCC